ATGAAGCACTGAACGAAAATCAATTATATTATATAGTCACCAATATATAGCCACCAATTATTTAATCAATTATTAGGCATCAGTTTTTCTCATTTTTGCCTCACCTTTGGCTTAGTGAATGAGACCACTGAATACTGGTATTTTGACCCGAGTTGAAAAAAGAAGCAAACAGGTTAGCTACAAAGAGTATTTTCGTGTTTTTCGCTATTTTAACATACGGGGGTTGGACAAAAATATGGAAACACCTTTAAAAAAACATGTTTCTTTGCTTAATATGGTGTAGGAAACCCGTTGGCATCCAAAACAGCTTGCAATCTTCTCGGAATGGATAAATACAGTTCCTGTATGTTTGCCAAGGGAATATTATACCATTCTTCCTGCAAAACGGTGGCAAGTTCAGATAACGATGTTGGCGGTGGATAACGAGAACGCACTTTCCGTTCCAATGTAGACCACAAAGGTTCGATAATATTCAGGTCTGGTGACTGTGGTGGCCAGGGGAGATGGGACAACTCATCCTCGTGCTCAGAAAACCAGTCCTGGACAATGTGAGCAGTGTGAACAGGGGCTATTTCGTCTTGGAAGACACCATCACCATCGGGGAACAAAGTTGTACCATGGGATGAACTTGATCGGCCAAAATGTTCACATAAGTCTTGGCAGTCATGTGCCCTGATACAGCTATCATGGGGCTAGCAGAGAACCACGATATGGCTGCCCAAACCATAACCGAACCCCCGCCATGTTTCACTCTTGGCAACAAGCAGTCTGTATTATAGGCTTGAGATGGCGTTCTCCAGACGTAAACTCGGCCAGAAGTGGGAAACAATGTGAAAGAAGACTCGTCAGACCATATTACTCGCTTCCACTGCTCTATAGTCCAGGCTTTATGACTTAAACACCACCTTTTCCTGTTACGGGCATTAGCATCACTGATGAGTGGCTTCTCAATTGCAGCACGGCCAGCAATTCCCTGTTTATGAAGCTTCCTTCTAATTGTTTTGGTACTCACAGGGTTCGGTAACACAACATTCATTTCAGCAGTAACTTTTGCGGCTGAGGTCTTATTTTTCGTCACAATTGCCCTTAATGATCGTCTGTCACGATCACTCAGGACACACTTTCGTCCGCACTGTGATTTAGCAGATGATGTTTTTCCGCTTTTCAAATATGCGGAATAAATCTTCGATACAGTACCTCTTGAAACACTAAACACCTCGGCTACCTTGCTTACGGAAGCACGTGCTCAAACATACGTGCTCCAACAATTTGCCCACGTTCGAAGGCTGTTAACTCTGACATAATGCAATGACAACCTCACATAATAGTACTCCGACAACAACTGAACTGTTTAGCACATTTACGAAGTTGGTGGAGTTAGTAGTCAAAAATGCCAGCGCCACCTACATATTTCATTAAAATCAATCTTTCTTTTCAAACATGCATTTCACAAGGTGTTTCCATATTTTTGTCCATCCACTGTAAATATGAGCCAGTTTCTCTTGGTGCTCCCTATAAGTATCTTTCCTCTTAGGTAGACAGCCTGCTATTGCTTTTATGTAATCGATGGGGGGGGGAAGTCACTCTTTTCCGATGAGGCTATAGATAGCTCTCAGAATAAACCAGATCATCGATTTCTATTGATGAATTTTCAGGCTGTATTAGCTTCACAAAGATATCGAGTTTTGACATTACATATTGTTTCATTTTCGATTAAATATTTCTCTACATCTGGAAGAAGCAAAAGCATCCTTATCTGTCTTTACTTTTTTCCAAAGCCCTTGTTCAATATGCTTTATCTGTCATATGTAACATGTATTCTTAGGGAGAAAAATGCTAAAGATAGAAAATTCTAATTGTGGTTTCTACTGAAGACGTAGAGATTTCCCCAGGTGTAACGTGAATACTAGCCAGTTTCGCTTAAAATATCTTCCACGAAGGTGTCCCTCCAGTAGGCAGAAAACTCTTGTGTGCTTTGGGGTAATCTTACTACTCTAATTCATACCGAAGATATGGATTTACGGTGTCTTTACCATTCTAAAGTAGAAAAGTAGGTTAAGTTGAAGCATTCGAAGTTGTGACTGCGTATACAATTAGTGGTCTATTTTGAAAATAACTTTTTCTTTAAGTGCGATTCTTTATATTGAAACTTGTACACACGTGTATTTCAATTCAATTTTGTAATCAAAAGCTCAATACAATAAATATTTGAACCAACTAAACATTAAATGCAATTGTAGATAAAAGAAGAGGCATTTATACATATTTCTTGATATTTTTAAAGTTTTGGTCATTTAAATTTAGTTCTTCATAAAGATATTTACATTTCACGTCTTTTCGTTTTAAATTATTTGCTATCTTATAGTTAGGATGAAATCTGATATTATGTCATAAAAATACTGCAGATAACTAGTACAAAGTTAATGCTTAAAAAAATAAATACTTAACTCCTCGTCTGAGAAACTTTCAATCCCTTCTCACTTTACACTTATTTTCAGATAATATACAGACTTTTTACACATTTTAGAAACAATTTTATGATAAAAATTAGAAAGTCTTAAACGTTCTAGAACAATTACAACGCTTAATTGTGAAATTAAATTACCGTGTAATGGAATTAAATATCACAATAGTATTTCCCCTCTTTCCAATGAGAATTATTCATATTCTGTAACTAAGAATGGCAGAAATATTGCTAAATTTACAATAAACAAAGCTTTTCATGGAAAAATGCTTAGTACTGTTTTCCGATAGAAAAAAACGGCAAAGGAAAAACACTTGTATGGTCGGAGGATAATACATACTTCTGCAACTACTTCAAAAGAAAAGTCTGGTCTCTCAAAAAGAAACACCGCTAAATAAAAGAACAAAAATATTTCTATATCAATAGTATGAAGAGTTTCTATATCAATAGACTTCCTAGGCATTTGTCTGAAGGAAGAAATATATTGCAATAAAGCATGCATTTATTTAAATGACTCTAATAAGATATGAAAAATTTACACGAGTAGAAAAAAAAAACTTTATTTTAAAAACCCAAAGAAATTTTCAGTGAGGAATGTATTATTTTTCTAACTTCCTGTTCAATGAAGAATTATAATGGAGAAAAATTCAAAAGAACTTTAAAAGTCAACTCTTTTATTTATTAAAAAATGTTTTAACTCCTTTAATTAGAGAAAGCCCATCAGCAGCCGAGTAGTTAAGATTATTAAACACCCGAATAGTTCAACCCGACTTTAAATGTCTACGAATGGGTTGGCTGAATGTGTTTTCGTCGGTTTTCTATGTATAACACAAATAGAAGGCAATTTCTCTTAGACAGTCCTTCATAAAGACATCCTTTTCCTTAGGCAAATAGCCTTAGCATATTTTACCATAATCTGGTAAATCCAAATATTTTAATTAGATGCAAAATTCCGTCTCTTTGTCAACAACGTCTTCATACATCTCCATCACAATAAAGTTACTAGTTATTTATTCAAACGTACCGCTAACTATATTTAAAAAATAACAAAAGAGATAAGTAACAAATCTAGAACATTTGCTCTAATACTAAACGTCATATTACTTAGACTTAAGTCCTTAGACATTTAATCACTGGACTATTGTGGCTCCGGTCTGGTAAAAACGAACGTTTCCTAAACACACATCTAAAGCACCCGAAGAAATTGAGAATATAGTGCAAGAAATGAACGGACTAAAGCATCATAAATAAGTTTAAAAAATATTTTCTCTTGGAAATCAAAAGAGAAGCTATCAGATAAAATAATTAAGAAATGTGCTTTTTTTTATTTGAAACATTAGTTATAATATACAAAATTCATTCTAAACATGCATATACATTCTTTTTAGACATTTTAGGTAGGCATTTGAATTTGAAAAAGCTATTAAAAATCTCAATGAATGTAAATTTGAACACTGAGTGACATTTGATGCGTGCAGGTATGATTTTTGAAATAAAACTAGTTTCCCAATTTTAAAGGATTTTTGAATCAAAATTGTAGCTTTTGGTATCATTGTTTCTAATAACTTACAGGCTCACCACTGCCAAGCGGTAAAAGCGCTGAACGCTGGTAATTCAAGCTGACAAACGGGCTAGCTGCATGAGAAATTTCGTGGTTTACTCCATGTGTAGCGTGAATACGAGCTAGGATAAAAAAATAACAATAGCAGTTATTATGATGATTATTATTATTTATCTGTTTTGGAATCTTAGTTAAGAATTTCCGGCCAATGTCTATTCATTATGATCCAAAATCAGAGACTGAACATATATTAGTGTTTTAATTATAACAGTCGTTAATAACTTCAAAACTTAATCTTAAGTTAAATCTTAAGATTCTTAAGTTTTCGGATTATTATCTTTAATTAATGCAGTATCTTTAAACACTAATCTAACATTTAAAAGCAGTTAATATTTTATATATTAATGCCATTGATTCCATTATCATCGTTGAAAGTACAAATAAAAGATTTTAATCCATTGCCGAATTCAGTCTAATCATCCATCGTATATTTAATAAAACAAGTAAAACTTTTTTTAATTAAAAATTAGGTATCAAAATTAAGGCCTTTGAACAAGTAAAGGAATTTCTTAAATATAGATATGGTGACCACATACAAATATGATCAGATATTATCACTTATCAGAGATAAAGATGATAATAAAGAATCAAATTTCTCCCACGAAGGCTTCTAAGAATTGCAAGTAAACGCACAGTACAATCTGAAAAATATAATACAGGAAAGATAACTTTATCTGTGACTAAGCCTTTATTTGCTTTATATCAGATCTTATAAAATAAGTTGAGAAACTAAAATATAGGTCAAGGATTGAGATTATTAATTAAAAATATTCATTTGTAATTCTTCCATAATGCACTGAGGCCACATGACAAGCAGCATTTCTAGTTTTGGATATTTGCATATAAGTATTTTAAGGACACACATCTTCATGTGCTTCATAATCGATCAAATAAACATAGAAAAAAACCACTTACTTCCGCTGGAAATATAGGTGCCATCAAAGAATAGCAGCTTCCAAGAAATAAATTTCCATAAATGACAGAAGCAAGAATCCGGATTTTTCTTGGAGTAAGCACTTTCTTTTTAACATTTGCTGGCACTTCTCCATTCTTTTTAGACAGTTCGCTGGATACACTGAAAGTCATATCGCTTTCGATGCCGTCTGTATTCACCACCATGTTCCAATAAAAAGAAAAGAAATATTCAGCAAAATTTAAAAACAAATTATCACAGAATAGTAATCTGTTCAATACAATTAGCGTTCCCTTAAACTGAAGAGCATGGGACGAGTAACAAACGACGCCTCAGACACCTATCGATCTGTTTGCTTCATAACAGACGAGCAGTCGGCTCGAGAGAATTCGAACGAGATGGGGATTCCGTCCTGTCGAGATGCTAATATGAAAACTAGATGACGCAATGCATATCGAGAAAGAGCGTTACGAAGATCCTCTAACTCTCTTTTCTCTTACATTCTGATCAATCTTATCCAGATAAATTTGCCATTTCCCCACCGTAATAAAGTTCCGTGAGCTACAAGTATGCCACACAAGAGGGCGCAGCGATCTTCGGCATCTAAAATAAGATATATATTCATACTACTTGATTTTTACGGGGTGAAATGGGATTACGCGCAATTCAGTTGTCGCATTAAGCGCTTTGCATCAGAAGTGCACTTATTTGAAGTATTTTACTGGACAATACAAATGCTTTTAACATTTGTTAAAAAATAATGCTTTTGGCCGAGAAAATAAAATAAAAATATATGCCTACATACTTTATTATTTCTCGAAATATTTAGGTATTTATCACTAGTTGTTGATTGTATATTTTCAGCTAACTTTTTTTTGTTTTGTTTGTTTTTGTTTTTACCGTACTTTTACTTCTTGACATGTTCATTCTTTGAGTTCTATTCGTCTCAGTTTTTTCTTTTACTTTTAATTACTTTGGTTGAAAGTTATAAACTTTCATTTAAAGAGAAACGAATTAACTTGCTTTGATTAACAATGAAATCGCTATATATACATATAATTAACTTCACTATACAACAGAATAACTACTATCTCTGTATGTCTAAATCTAATGTTCTACCATGCAGTGTGAAGTGTATTAAAGTGTATTGAAGGTTCATATTTCTTGAAGTGTATTAAAATACCAGCTATTCGTCTTCTTCATTAGCTGAACAGAATAGTAAATTTAGCATTAAAGTTTAACAGTTAAACTCTTTTCTAGTGGTTTTTCTTTTTCTCTGTCTAAAAAGAAAAAGGAAGGATATTTGATCGCCAGTTTTAGAGGACCAAATTTCTGATTATTTTTTGTCTTTTGCTGCGTTACGAAATTTTTATTCATTAGGGAAATTCAGAGGAATAAATATACCGATATTTGGGGAAAATTTCGTTAGACTAACAGTTTTTTATTTACAGACACTAATTTTCTTTTTCTATAATACTGGGCTGTAAAATATTTTACTTAATTTGTGACAGCAGTTGACATATATAACTAGAATTTTACTTAATATACGTTTAATATACGTATCTCCATTTTTAAACTAAATATAAAATATTTGTATTAGTTAGTCGAACTAAATATAAATATTTTATCTTGATGAATCAAGAAATATCAGTGAATTATTTTAATAATTAAGTTAAAGAATCGTAAAAAAATATTTATTTTTAACAATGATCTTACCTTTGAACTTTAACATACTTCAAGGTGTTCCAGAATGCATTATTTACACATAACCAAAAATAACATTGTGAAAAATTCTCAGTGCAGTTCTGATCTTTGATTTTGGTCTCGTTTTCCTCTCGTTTTTGTATCAGAAAAAAATTTGAATTGATTACGAAGAATGCTCTAATCGTGCATTTCTGTCTTTTCCAGCACTTCGTCAATACTTTAGATGTAAATGTTATGCAAAATAACATAAGAAGAAATTAACATCAAAATTACAATAATAAATAATGAAGATGTGTTGTAAGTAAATGATAGTGTCAAATGAAACATTTTGTCATAAACACGAAATTCTGTTAATAAACAGTCTTACTAAGGCTATCTACAAGATATAAGATGTTTTTATGGAAACTGTTTGAAGAAAAACTAGCTCGAATTCGGTTGTTTAATGGAAACAGACTCGTGTATTTCCAGCGGATAAGCTATTCAGAGGCAATTTTCGTTATTTTATTAGGTGAAAAGAAACCTCACAAAAATTGTATCCAAGTTCGTTTCGGTTCTCTTCTCGGCAGACGGGGTGTTGGCTACTGGTCTGGCCCTCTGCTTAGGGACAGACCAGTAGCCGAGTGTAAGACCGCTCAGTACTGCGAGTTTGATCCAAGTTCGATTCCAAGCAAATGGGATGGCTGCACGGTTGGTATTCGTAGTTCTTTCTGTGGGTACCATGATTAAAGTCATTTTTCCTTAGAAAGTCCTCCACAAAGTCGTCTCTCCTCTTAGGCAGACAGCCATCCTGAGATTTACCATATTCAAATAACCTATTCAGAAAACGTTTTCTTCTCTATCATGGATAGGCTAAAAAAGCATATGAATAAAAAATATTAAATTTATAAGGTATTTTCTCTCTTCTTTTCGCATGCCTTCGTTGTGTAAGTGGAAGCATCCTCGGCGCGTGTTCGAGAGGTCCAAGGTTCGAGAGTATTGTACATTTTTTCAAGTCTTCTGCTTCAAAATAACTTAATGACTCTACAAATTATAAAGAAAGTAAATTATGGCATGCTTTATTTATAAAAAAATATAATAAATCTAAATGTATTTAAGTAGTGCTGACAATGAAGGTTGGCATATGTTAATTACATATAAAAATATTTTCCTCTTCCATTAATTTATTTTATTTATCCTTTAATTTTATTTATTTATTTTTTTCTTTCATGCATTTTTATTAATTTTTGTATTTTTAGGGATGCCGCAAAAATAAGCTTAATGACGCTAAGTTTTTGAGAACAATTTCAGATATTTGTTTCAACTGGCTGTAGAGACATTAAGTTTTTTTTTTTTTTTTGAAGCAGGAGACACGAAAAATGAGCAATGCAATCGCCGGGACTTGAATCTCGGACCTCTCGAATACACGCCGAGTGTGCTGACCATTACACCACGAAGAGGCATGCTAAGAAGGCGGGAGAAAAACCTTATATACGCCTCCTTTTAAAGGGCGACTGGGGATTAGGGGGACCCAATCGCCAAATTCTGGTGGTGGAGAATCATCATCCTCCACCTTTTGTTATTTTAGTTCGGGCGCCATTGTAGAAACATTAAGTTATTTTGAAGCAGGAGACATGAAAAATAAGCAATACCCTCGCCGGGACTCGAACCACGGACCTCTCATATACGAGCCAAGTGTGCTGACCATTACACCACGAAGGCATGCTAATACCTTATATGGCTAGAAAATAATGTAAATAACTGCATATTTTAATTTTTATTGTTAAACGCTTGTGTAGATACTTTTATGCTTGCGTTTTGTATTCTAAAGCTGTGAAAATATTTGGATGTCTTTGTTTGTATTATATATATAATACAAATATACAGGTTTCCTTAGATTTACGATTTCGTACACCTTTCGTAAATCAAAATGACTAAGAGAAAAATGTATAATAGTAATTCACGTATCAAAAGTTTAGAAGTTTGAGAATTCAGAAAGAACCTATCAAATCAAACTCTATAACACTTTCATAATTAAATCTTTGTAGTCTTCTTGCCGTTATTTGCAAAATTCTAACATACATGTTTTTATATTTCCTATTAATATGATGCAACTTGACTAAGGAATCAGTAATTTAAACATGAAGCGACAAAGTATCAAATGTTGCGATTTAACCGCCGTAAAACTTACTCTTGGATCTTGATAGTATATAAACAGAAACAGCGTACTCCGCGCCAACTTTGCCCGACCTCGACGAAAGAATCAAAACCGCAAACATAAGTTGCATAATGAAAAATAAAAGATTTCTCCCGCTGCTTTTTTTTTCTTTTTTTTTTTTTTTCTTTACATTACAGTTTTTAGCCTTCCGTATCTTCAAAATATGACCATCTTCAGCGTGAGTGAAAGCGTTTTTTTTTTCACTCATCAGTAGTCAGTTTATTGTGCACATTTAATTAGCTTTTCTTATAATTCTTACGAAATTAAAGTTTCAGCTAAAGGGAATGCATCATAATTTCTCTGTAATCTTTCTCTGTAATGCTGTCATCATCTTTCTCTGTAATGCTGTTTTGATATGCTAAGGATTTATGGGGGAAAAGAGAGACAGACTTTTCACGTTCTCTCTTTTCCAAATGATAGTTCTCATAGGACTTTCTAATACACTAGTCATAGAAAATTGAAGTATGTGAATATCTGGAATTAGTACAGATGGAATTATTAGTATTATTAGGATGGATGAGAGAATAAAGTATTTCTCCCACCTTCTTAGCATTCCTTCCTAGTGTAAGGGTCAGCACACTCGGTGAGTATTCGAGAGGTTTGTGGTTCGAGTCCCGGAGAGGGGATTGCACATTTTTCATCTCTCCTGCTTCGAAATAATCTAATGTCTCTATAGTGGCGTTGGGTCCCTGAATCCCCAGTCGCCCTTTAAAAGGAGCAGCGTAAAAGGTATTTCCTCCGCCTTCTTAGCATGTCTTCGTAGTTTAATGGTCAGTACACTCGGCGCATATTCGAGAGGTCCGTGGTTCGAGTCCCGGCGAGTGCATTACTCATTTTCCCTCTCTCCTCCTTCGAAATAACCTAATAGCTCTGAAAAAGTATGTATAGATGAAAAACTTTCAACGAATATCGAGCTTATTTAGTTCACCGTTTTCATAACTTTTTTAGTTCATGTAAGTGAAAATAAATTATTTTTATAACATTTTTAAAGAGTTGATATTCTCATTTAATTTGTCCTTAATTTTGTATATTATGTGACATTTTCAATAATATACGACATTGTAAAGGCACCCAGAATGGTTGAAGGTACCCATTAAGCTTCTTCTTTTTGTCAACTGTTCAGCGCTTTCTTTCTGTTCAAATAAAAGAATTGATTTTCTCTAACAGCTGTAAGAGCAACATTCGCGTGAAGGATTCCTAATCATTATTTCTTGTGGCCACTGTCGCTATATCGAACCGTCTGAAAATCGCATATCTCATTAGGTGAAACTGTTTATTTATCTGATGTCTCC